TATTATTCTTATTAATTAGAATGTTTTTGTTGGTAATTTGTTTGTTATATATAACAAATATATACAAAACAATTATTAAAAAAACTACAGTTGTATTGTAATTTATAGTTTTTTATAATTATATTTTAATTACATGAAAAGTAGATGCAATAAAAAAAACTTTTAATTTTGAACAACAATCACATTAGTATGGTGTTTTCTTGACACCATAAAAACTTTGAATCAAAACCATTTAAATTGCACTTTTGCAACTCAAACCAAAACAAGTAATAAAAGTTCCATTATAAAATAATAAAAAACACAACTAAAAAGCGTGGAAAGCAGCTGTTGGAATAACAACGATGAGTGGAAGGATCAACCCCAACACAAGCACAGGAAGGGAATCAACCAAAAATGCGACATAGGCACCAACCATCCCACACACCATTACAACTTGACTTTCATCGATGATAGAAATTTCCTTTTTCACTCCATATTTTTTTGTTAAAAGTACTCGGTATACGATGTAAGGAAGTGGAGTGACAGACACAACCCACACAAATGGTTTAAAGACAAATCTATTGGTTACTCCATCAATTCGTTCTTCTAGCAATTCTTATCTTATGAAATTGTGTCTACAAACATCATAGAAAAAAGAGACGCGATAATTAAGAGTGCAATAAGGTTGGTATATTGTACTGTAAATTTATTTAAACGTACCAAAACAGTATCAAGGTCGGCGGGAACTTTAAACTCTGCTTTGGTCAATTTGTTCCATTCGTCTTTAATACTTTTTCCCATTGATTTTCAAGTTCTAATGTCTTGTTGAAGGCGTTGGTATGTTCTATTTATTGTATTATATATTATATTATTATTATATAAATTTCATGGTACAGTAAATGGAGTAAAATAAAAAGACTGATTATTTTACTCAATTGATAGGGTGACAAAAAAGTTAACAAAAAATTAACGTTAAAAAGAACTTTAGTTTTTTTGTTATGAATTTATTAATGTAAGATTTAGTTTTTTTTAATAATAAAAACTAATAAATTAGTTTTGTATAAATTATTATATATAAATTAGTCTTTTAATTAATTGATTATAGTAAATTTTAATTCTATTAAATACATTTGGTGTTTTGTTTGTTTTATTTTAAAACAACTGTTTGAAAAAAAAAAATTAAAATTTTATTAATATTAATTAAAAAAATTTACTAAAGATAATAATTTGGCAAAATGATTAATTCAAATACCAACAAAATGAACTCAAAAAATGTGAAATGCAACCAAAAATAGAAAATGCTCAAATTTTTAAGATTTCTGTAAATTATCCCGATGAATTACATCAAAACAATTTTATATAAGCTCAACTTTTTTCAATAACAACTCCCAATTATATTAGTAAATTAAGTAATAAAATATCTATAAATATACTAGTAAACATATTCAAACTGAAGAAGATAACTAAGAACAAGAAAATGAGTGAAACATTTTTTTAAAAACCAAAATTATGAAAAATAAAAAAACAGAAAAACCAGAACCCGAGGTGTACATGAAACTCTCCAAAAGCGAAAAGACCAAAATAGAGAAGTGCTTTGATGAAACCTTTTCACCTCTCATCTCTAAACTCCCAAAACTCGAGGTCAAATTTTATAAATACGATCAACCCATTACAGTGATAGATACAACCCCTCCTCCAAATCACTATCCAATCTACTCGTCCGACACGTTCTCGTATACTTCATTCTCGACCTATCCATATCGAAATGAAAAGAAAATGGGCGACCCGATTTGCGACAAAGGCAAAGGTGCTATATTTAAAAACTTGGGCATCTTTGTATTAGGGGATGGGTGTGGAATAGGACCATCTGTATGTGAGGCGGCTACTGTAGCGGTTAACACGATATTTAGTTCAGTCATTGAAAACATTCTTATGTGCAAAAATGTGAGGGATATTGGAAAGGTGATGGTCGATTCTGTCGTAGCCGGTCATGTTGCAATCATAGAGAGTGGAAACCTTTTTCATATTGGAACAAGCACTATCTTGTTAGTCACCTATTTCTATATCAATACTCAAATATATCTTTTGTCACTCTCAATAGGTGACTGCCACGCTTTAAGATACAACATAACAACAAAGGATGTGTCTCATGTCGTCGGTAACTTACGAGAGAGTCTTGAAGAAGTACCCGATTGTGGGGGGAGGATTGGCCCGTTTGTCGATAAATTGTTCCCCGATTTGCGAAACGGTGATATCCACATTTGTGAATGCAATGAGGGCGATTTCTTGGTTATGGCAACTGATGGATATCACGACAACTTCGATCCAATCATCACCGGAAAAACACCAAAAGAAGTTTCTTTGCAATACAAAACATGGGAAGAAGCCGAAAAGGACGTGGAGTGTTCTTTGAAGAAGGCAAGATTTGTTGAGGAGATAGTTATGGACTTTATTACCAATTCAGTGTCTCTCGCTGTTTGTATTTTGATTATGACATTTCTTATATTTAACCATATTTATATTATAATTTATAGTAATTTATATGTCGAGGAATTCGATGAGTAAGACAGTGACTGGTTACTATAATAAGCTATAAAGAAACCATTTCAATGGAATCAATCAACGCTTCTTGATAATTCACGTGTGTGAGTGTATTGACTGGTAGGATTTTTGTGAAAACACAAGTAGGTATGTGGTCAACATGACCACAAGAATTCGAACGTTTATGGAAGAACGACAAGGCGAAAAACACCCGAAAGACCCCCATGAATACCCAGGTAAGTGCGACCACACGACAGTGATGATCTTCAAAATGGAAAGGCGTGGAGATATACCAGAAGTCATCAATTGCTATGTCCCATCATATTCCATTACACTCTTTGGTGGGAACGATATGGAGCCGTATAATTTTAACCACGACCGAGGAATCTTAATCCACGCCCACAAGCCAAGGGAACGTCTGGTCCAAACTCCTCGACCAGACCGTTGTCGAAAAGACATAACGGGTGAGAACACAAGATCTTTTCTTAACTCTCCTGTGGACTTTGACAAGAAAAAAGGTGTTGCTTTGAAGTTTTGCTCTGAAGGAGAAATTAAGGAGAGTGATGAAGAGAAAAATTGATACAACAACATTTCTTGTAATATATTGATACAACATCCATAAGTTATAATGGACGTTTTTATGTTTATTATATTGTATAATATAATATTATGCACTAATGGTAAAAGGAGAAGAGGAAGGATTAAAACTATAATTGTTAATAGATATAATTAAAAGTACAATTGTTATATTGTTCTACAAGATATACAAACCAATTCCATATAGTAAAAATAGTCATACGATATAGTACAACCCAAAGGGTTGAGAAAGGTTCGCTGGTGCTTAGCACATTTTCCAAAAATCTCCTACAAAAAAGAAAACAAAGAATCCTCAAAAGTGAACTAGGAAAGAAATATGGCGATAAACAACCAATATGTTCCAATGACATTAATGGGCGATGAAGCGGGAGATATAACGCGTGGAGTCATTTTCATTTGGAACTTTTTGAAACAATTTCAAACGGAAATTGGAACAGATGATGCGTCATTTAAGGCTGTCGTCGTGTCGATCTATTTAGAAAACGACACGCGCGACGACTGGGCGTGTCTAAAAATCTATAAATTCATTCTTCCTTTCCTATTCAAACATAACAACTTGGAGTATCTTGTTAGAATGAGAATTGAAATCACCCCCTATACGATCCCTATGCTTATTACTCTCGTTTGTTTCTGTACAAAGTCGATTTCATATATAGTTTTATTTATTAAATATATGCTAGAATTAATAAACAACTAAAATGGTATCTGTAAACCATTAAGTCTACTACAATATTGTGAATGGCAAATAACTGGGAGGTGATGTCGCGATTTTCAGACCAAATTTCACACGAAGTGATTAATTACATGAAACGATTTGGATCCATTTACAGAGTCCCAACTCGTGCTAAAGTCTCTGTATTAGGGAAGATGATTCAACTCTTTTTCAAAACTAAGGAAGGGGCTGCAGGGTCGGCAGACAAAGTTGGCAATTTGACACTTGGCACCGACGGTCAGCGAACGTTTTACTTGTTGAATGGATATCTGATAGTGGAGACTACATCGTTGTCATGGATGTTAGTCAACACTACCCTCAAATTGCATAACTTAATCAATTACTATAAATCGATGAATTCATATAGAGAAAAAGAGTTGGGAGGGGTGTTAGATTCTGTGCTTTCCCAAATCAAAGTCGATCAGTTAGTTACACAAGAGTTTGGTTTAACTACTGTGATGCTCGACAAGAACTCGTGTTTAACAAGTGATTACCGTGTGTTCAGTCTTATTCCTGGTACTGAAGAGGTCGAAAAGCAACGAAATTTCTTAGAAGACACTATCAAACGAATTCAAGACCTTTTAGTGATGTGGGAGAAGGATATGGAAAAGAAGGTGAAACGTGTGAAGTGTAGTGATGTACTCAAAAATGTCAAAATGTGTGTTGAAGAGGTCAAGTCGGTTGATTTCAAAACGGCCAATTTCATTAATAAGCTTCACTCGTATTTACTTAAAATAGGTACACGCGTGCCAATATGTTACCAAGACCAAATGTATTACAAAAAGATGTATGGAGACTTGAAGGTATTTAGTGTGTCGAACGAGGGGAGTGTCCGGATCTTATTCTTATTTTTGAAGAGAATGATCGATTTGTCGCATGCGAAGTATAGACTTGATATTAGTTCATACGACGATATCAGCTTTTCCAACGAAAGTTCGAGTATGTCGGAGTCATTGAATGAAGAGGAAGAATTACTCAAAGAAGATGAATCTTTGAGTAATGTGATGAGTGACGACGACGATGAAAGTCAGAAGTATTATACGATGAATAAAACAGAGAAATTACAGAAAGCAGAGAACATGCCAAAGCAGATAGAATCTAAGAAGAAGAAAGAAATGCCACAACACATAAATACTGTCGAAAAGCCAAAAGCAACAAAAAAAGTTGAAAGTGAAAGTCCATCGAGTACTGAAGAAAGTAAAGAAAGTGAAGAATCGTCTGATGAGGTGGTTGAGGTGACCGCACCTTTAACAAGTACTTCAAAGAAAATGAAAGAAGACCATCCTGTCGTTGTTATTGAAGAGAATAGTGATTCCAATGATTTTGAAGAAGAAGAACACGAGAGAAGTGAGACAAAGAGTAAAGAGTCTCATACAACACAAGATAGTGGGAGTGATGATGTAACAAAGAATCCAAAAGGTGTGAAGATGGAAGAAGAGAACAAAGCTGAAGTAATTCAAATGGAAGAAGACAGTGAAGAAAGTAAAGAAGAAGAGAACAACAAAGCAAGTGAAAATGATGAAGACTTGTCTCAAGAAGACGATAAAGACAGCGGAATTGAAGTTTCAAATGGAGAGGACGACGAGTCTGAAGAGATTGATTGCGACAAACCACTTGTGAATCGCCTGAGAGACCGCAAGAAGATCTCTCCCAATCCAATGACTGTGGAATTGATCGATTCACAAGAGACCGATAAAGGGTCTTCCCTGAAAGAGTTAGTACAACGTGAGTTAGAAAAGGATCTTAATGAAGATTCTGAGAGTGATGATGTTGAAGAGGTTACTAACAACAACAAAAAGATGGAAACAGAGAAGTCTTCACCACGAGAGTCTTCTTCAGACGATGATTGATGATTTGATTGAATAGTTTATTACTACTGTGTTGTTTGAATGTCAGAATAAAACGTCCAAAAGAATTAGTTCATAACAGGCCAAGGCTTAGAAGCTAAAAGAATGTTTGTTGGGGGTTCTGGGAATGGGATCTTTTTCTTGTCCGATGGGATCTTGGGGACCGTCTGGTTTTTGTTCTTGATCTCTTCTGCTATTTTGGTTGCAAGGTCATCCAACCCGTGTTTGACGGCAGCAATATACGCCATACGGATTTGCCCCGCATTAAACAAACACTTTACAATTTGCAAGTGATTGCCAGCAAGTGCAGCACATGTGAAATTTGCGTTCAAGTCCTTCCATGTATCGGTGACTTGTGTGATTTTGTCAAGCTTCTCTTTTGCGCCACAAGCTACATACAAATATGCGGCTTTTGTGGCATCTTGAGTCTTCTGATACGCTTTGTCTGCAAACTCTTGATGTCCAGATATCATCGCGGCGTTACCGAGTGACTTCCACATCTGGGGAGACTCAAGTGACTTGCACGCCTCAAACGCGGCTTGTAAATCCAAGCACTTCAGAGCCAAGTCCGCTCGAATTTGTGGGTCTCTCACACATTGTAGAGCGACTTCTGGTAATCCTTTGTTGCGCAAATATCCGACGACGTACTGTCCAATAACATCACGTTGCTCTACCATATATGCAAGCGACGTATAATCACGCGAGAAGACATTCAATTTGAATAAATACTCGTTGGGGTTGATGGTCAACAGTTTCAACTGTCCTTCACGATTGACTAAATACATCTTTGGTGGTCTTGCATCGGCTAAGTACATGACGGTGTCGAGTTGCTTGATAACTCCGCCCTCGCCATTCGGAAGCAAATATTTCAAATGGCTCGACGTGGTGTAGAACAGTGTTTCGCCAACAAATACCCCACTCTTCACTCGAGCTACTTCATTGCACTTGCACACCACATCCATCTTCTTTCCAATCATCACAACTTGTCGCTTCCCAATCAACGCAGCATAGTCCCCATACGCTCCACCAGAAACGACTCGCTTCAACGCTTTCATCTTGACTACTTTAAGAACTTTTTGCTCTTCGACATCAAATATGATCGCTTCTTCACGAGTCCCAAAAACTACGGTCGATGGGAATGGACCAGATACCATCTTCTCAGGCCTCTCAGTCAATGTAATCGACCGGATGACACTTCCTTCGTATTTCCTAATTGAAACAGTTGCAGTTCCTCTGTCGAAAGCAGCGTAACACCCCTTCAGTCCAACAACAAATCCACCCTTTGTCGGAAGGGCAGTTGCTTCTCGTGAAGACGAAATGTTGTAAATGTCGTGTGAGTTCTGCTTTGCGTACGCAACCAACATATACTTCCTTGTCTCGTCAAGTACCAAATCACTTGCGTGGTTGTTGACACCGGCAGTCTGTCTCTTCGGCAAATTGACAATTGCAGCATCTTTCTTTCCAGCAAACTCAAAGAGCCTCACAGCACCTCTGCAAATGTAATACAATGAGTCGTCTGTACGCACGACTGGGACTCTTTGGTTGCTCAACTTAAATACAATCAACCCCGAGTCATGCCCACATCCAATAGAGTATCCATTCGGATGAACTGCTGTCACCCAGAACCTGTCTCGTTCTCTCTGGTATGATGAGATGAGTGTTCTTTTAGTGATATCCCACAACTTAATAGTTCTGTCTTCTGAATTGGACACTAACACATCACAACTTGGAACGAAGGCGACAGAAGACACTATAGATGTGTGTCCTCGTAAGCAACACAATTCCCACATTCTGGTCTCATTATATTTCCAAAGTCGAATGGTCTTGTCATCGGACGCTGTCGCGATGTACGGCTGTTTCGGGTGGAAGACCGCGCAATTGACGCCGAGTTGATGGCCGTCGATCAAAAACTTGACTACGCCTTCGCCTCTTTCTTTCAATCCGGAAATGTCCCACACACGAACGGTTTGATCCAACGACGCAGACACGATCAATGGAGTCATCGGATTGGGATGGAAGTATGCAGACATAACGTAGTGCTCATGACCCGGTAAAAGTAATACACACTGTCGCGACATCCAATTCCACACACGAATTGTTCTGTCGTCAGACGCTGATATGATCCAAGGCTCTGTTGGGTGGAATTGGACAGTTCTGACATAATCCATGTGACCAGTCAATCGACAGATCTCGCGATGAGTCGTATAACTCCAGACTATGATATTCGTGTCATCACCACCAGTGACAAAGATCGGTCGGTCGGGGTGAAACATCACAGATCGAACGGGTCCTTTGTGACCTTCGTAGACGTGAAGGAGGGTACGGGTGCGCATGTCCCAAAGTTGAACCTTTCCATTGTGTAAAGATGTCAATACCCAGTTACGTGTTGGGTGAAAACTGATTCCCTTTACTCTGGCTGTGCGAGTCTCAAAGGAGGGATTGACTCGTAAACTCATGCTCTGATTTTAAAGATCTTCTGGTCTTTTTTCTCAAATAATGAAACATTTTAAAGTTCTTTGTTTTTTCGGGATTTTAGCGGTATTATAATCATAATAGTATTTTAATGAGATCTCCCATTTTTGTGGGATTCATTTTGGTTTTGGTTTGTAAAAAAATAAGTTTTTTCACTTTGGTGGTCCATTTTATTTAACAATGTTTTTTTGTATTTTTATAATTAGTTGATTAGTTTGTATTATTTATTTAATAATTGTAATTACTCTATTTACTTAAAATTTATTTTTTGAATTAATAAAAAAGAATTGTGTTAATTTAAATGGATATGTTAATTTTACAAACAAAATAAATTTATACAAAAACTTAGTAAAAAGAAATTCTTTTTTCTTCGAGTTTGACGAAAATTGTTTAAGATTTTTTTCACTTTCCATTTTTTTCAATAAAAACATTTTTTGTAACACTAATTAGTATGAATGATTTTTTGAGTTATTAAAAAACTAGATATTCTTAAAGAACTTTTCAGCCATGTTCATACAATTGTTATTTCCACAAGATTCTTTTTAATATTAATTTAGTTAGTTTTATTATAAAAAGATAACTAAATAAAACAATAGAAGTGATGTCACAAAGGGCTATTAGAAATGAACTTCTCAAGAAGGAGGAGACGATTCTTGGAAAATACCATATTCACCCGTCTTATCCAAAATTCCCCTCTTTTCCTCAACCCCCCGAACCAAATTACTTCTTCATTAAAACATCAGTTAAGCTTCCACCCTCTCATTTGGGACTTTCCCATTTGTTTGAGATTGGGTTTTACCTCAAAAGCGCTCGCGATTTCATTCACATCATGTTCACATGCAAGAAGTTCAGACTCTTCACAAACGAATACACTGAATTCAACCCAATTGATGATTTTACGATATTCCCCCTTATCAAGAATCAATACTTTTACTTCGAATTGTCGGACTACACGGATCCACGATGTTTCAGAAAGAAACCTGGGATGGTTAAATATGTGTATTACCCAGAAGTATCATACACTGAATCACTGTGGCTGTATTATAAAGTGAATTTGGAATGCCCAAATGTGGTGTATTCAGGCGCGGATTATATCCGGTTCGGGTTTATCATACCAAAACACATTCACCGAATGGGAGACGCTTGCTTCTACTCATCGCCACCACGTGGGTTGCAGTCGTACACTATTCCAGACCACATTTGGAAGTTGGGGCAGATGGCATTTAAGCGGTGTACAAATATCACTGAAATCATATGCGCGAAGACGAATTTGTATATTCCCAGTCTTGCGTTTGCGTTAGATAAAAATGTCATGAGGGTTGTCTTGAATGGAATCGACTCGTTGCCACAAGGGCTCTTTGCATATTGCGAAAAGTTGACGGAAGTCCAAATCCCAACAACGGTGTCATATCTTTCTAATTTCTGCTTCACGGGATGTAAGAGTCTTCCCGAAATTCATATACCCTCTATAGTAACTTCTATTGGTTTTAATTCATTTGAAGAATGCTTGGAACTGACTTACGTCAATTTACCGGACCATATCAAAGAGATCCCAGACTATTCCTTTGCTGATTGTAAGTCACTTGTCGAGTTGAAACTCCCATCGAAAATAACAAGAATCGGAAATGCCGCTTTTGCTTTCTCAGCAAAACTCCAATCAATTAATATACCATCCACAGTCACCTATGTGGGGGAATCATGCTTCTTGTGTTGCTCACAATTGGTCAACATTGCTGAAGATATCAAAAACGTCAAAGTGAAGGAAAACTTCTGTACATTGACAGTTGCTAATGAGGATAGAATCAAATTAAACAACATGAAATTCATCCAAGAACTTGAAGCCGCTAACTCTTCGGATTTGGAAAAGATGGATTGGAGCTCTCTTAGAAAGTATCAATGATTTATTCGATTGTGGTGGACTGATTTGAATTTGAATTTATTTGATTATTTGGATTCTGCTTGTATTTTAGTCATTTTCATTCTAATTGATAGGTAACCAATTCTCTATAGTGTTAATTAGAGAGTTATTTAATAGTAACTATAATGTTATTAGAATATTATAGTTAATGTATAATACTATTATTTAACTAAAGAGTATATTATTACAATTAATAATTATGAAATAGTTGATGTATTATATAATTAATTACTAATTAATAGTAATAGAAATGAAAATTCAATCAACAGTGGTATTCTATCAATAGAATTGTTATATCATAATAATTAAATTGTTATAAATAACTAATAGAGATATAGAACCAAATAACTATCAAATACACAAGCAATAAGAACTTGTAAAAGATATGAGTGAAGCCGAGATCTTGGACCGTGTAGACTGCACGATAGACCGATTTTACGAAATGAACGACTTTATGTTGGACCCTGTAGTGAATATTCTTTATACTACAACGGAAACCACACAACAAGAGACTCCTGAGGCTGAAAATGCTGTTATTGAGTTTGTCGAAATGATCGACAAAAAGGCGGAGACAAAAGCAAAAGATGTTGCGCTTACTGCAGCCGATTCGACAGACACACAACTGAATTTCCAAGACGAGGAATTCACTGAGAAAATACTTAATGAAGAAGAAGTCCGCGAGAACACGATCAGTGGCTACATTTCCCGGAACGATGAATTGGACGAGAAATACGGCGACTTTTCGACACAAGTTTCAGATGAAGAGATTTTGATTTACTTGAAAAATCGGAACGAGTGGATTGGGCGAATGTTAGAGAAGTTGAGTTCGGAGTATCGAGAAAGCAAAGAGCTGAAAGTGTCATGCCACACCTACAATGTCGACCAACATGTTTTTGAGCCCGAGTATTTGAGTGAGTGGATAGACATTGATTTTGAGAGTGACATCATAGTGGTAGCTACACAAGAATTAGATATGGACAAGGAACACATTTTTTTAGGAAGTAAGAAGACGACTAAAGGTGAAGCGTGGAGGAAGAATTTACTTGAGACGGTGAAGAGGAAAGGAAATTACCAATACATCACACACCGACAGATGTGTGGTATCGTTATATTCATGTATGCCAAACCTGACATCGCAAACTTAATGAAGAACGTCTCAACCGCGTGTTTGCCTGTCGGGACTATGAAGTGTGCGAATAAAGGTGGCGTAGCAATTCGATTTGATATGTTAGAGACAAGCTTCTGCTTTGTTAACTCCCACTTGGCTGCACATATCGAGCCGGAGAAGCTTCGCAAGAGGAATGAGCATTGGAATACTATATGGAAAGACTTGAAATTTGATAAGAAGGGAGTTATAGGAGACCACGACTATGTCATATGGATGGGTGATCTGAATTATCGAATTCAAATGGATGACAAAGAAGTTCGAGATAAAGTCGAGAAGGGGATGTTTGAGGAGTTATTTGAACATGACCAATTACATACTGCTATGTTAAACAAAATCGTCTTTAATGGGTTCAATGAGGCTAAAATCACATTCAAACCAACGTTTAAAATAGATATTGGTTCAGATGTCTATAACGCAGAGAGAGTCCCGTCATGGTGTGACAGGGTACTTATAAGGAAACAGAATGCATACCCAAGCCAAATACTGAACTATACATCACACGCCAAAATGCTTCAAAGCGACCATAAACCAGTCTCATGCTGCTTTCTATTGTACCCTTCGAAGCTATTTAATGACAAATTGGAGGAAGTTCAATGCAAGTTGTGGAAAATGTCTGATTATATAGAACAGAAATTAATACCACAAGTCGAAGTAAAGGGATTGGAACTCCTTTTCGAGAATGTCGAACTGTCATCCACATACGTCCAAAGTCTCGAAATTAAAAATGTCGGGAACTACCCAACTAAATTCCAGTTTGAGCAACGCCCGGACACACGAATGATATGTCCAGTGTATTACAAAGTCTCTGTTACTGAAGGTGTTATTAAACCAGGAGAGTCTGTGGAGATCAAAGTCACGTTATTTATTCAACCCGACCAAGCCATGTTAGTCTCAAAGAAAGAGGTCACAGACATCTTTTCGCTCTCATTTGCGTTTGGTGGGATATACTTTGTGACTAGTCGGATGGTCATCAAAGACACGATCTTTGGAAAGGACCTCAAAACTTTGGTTTACTCAGAAGTCCCCTATTGTCAAGT